TCTGATTAGGGTTTAAATGTTTCCTTATTTTTATTTATATATGTGTTTTTATGAATTATAATATTGTGAAACAGAATTATACTGAATTTTTTAGGTCTATTCAAAAACACATTCTGTGAGGAACTTCCCACACATTTCCAGACTGGAGATAATGTCTGAATCTGAAAACACACTTTCATGGATAAAATCTAAATTTTGGCACATAGTGACAACCCGTTGAATTAATTTTAGGAATCTCCACAATAGATGCTGGAATTCTGTCTAAGTATACAATGGCAACAGATCTTGAAAGTCTGGCAAAGTTTTTTCTTTTCCCTTCTTCTTATAAGAGAGACCAGGGCTGTCAAACTCACATCCCCTGGGCCAGATTTGTCACACACTGGCCATGCCCATGCCCGATTTAGCAAAGGGGGAAAAGTCATGATACATCACATGACGAGCTGTGAAGATTTGAGTTTGACACCCCTGCCATGGAGGTCAAGGCAAGGTTCACTTGAGTTTCATTTTAACTCATTCTTTCCAGGTTTAATTTCAGTTTCATAGTTATTGGTTTAATTGTTGTGAGTCACCTAGAGTTCGGCTTATGATGAGTGGCCATACAAAACTTTTAAATAAATAATAAATACATAAGTCCTTAACTTATGACCACAATTGGGAGCAGAATTTCTATTGCTAAGCAACATGGCTGTTAAGTGAGTTATGGTGAATTTTGCAACATTTTGCCGTGGTTGTTAAACAAATCACTGCAGCTGGGTGAATCATATGGTCATTAAGCAAAGCTGGCTTCCCCTATTAACTTTGCTTTTTGGAAGCCAGCTAGAAGAGTTGCAAATGGCAATCACATGACCCTGGGAACCTGCAACCATTGAAAATACATAGAGGTTACCAAGTACCTGAATTTTGATTACATGACCATGAGGAGGCTGTGACAGTTGTAAGACTGAGGGCTAGTTGTAAGTTACCTTTTTCAGTACCATTGTAACTTTGAATAGTCACTAAATGAATGGTTGTAAGTTGAGTACTACCTATAAATGGATATTCTGAAGTAGGCTTCACTGAGTTCAATGTAACCTACTCCCAGGTAATTGTAACCTTTAGAATCTCCTTTTATGGTGAGTTAACAGTTACTCTATATGTTTCTCTTTTATTGCTATTGTTTTTAAAATAGGATTTATTACCAGCTATGGATTGTACATGAATGGCACTCTGGTGCAGAATTCCTCAAAACTGACCTATTATATTTCTGGCCTTTCTCCTTGGAGTCTCCATGCCTTCAGAGTTCAAGCGTGCACAGCAAATGGCTGTGCTTTGGGCCCACTGGTGAGTTCTTCCATTTACATTCTGAGAATGCAATAAATGTCACTTGATACTGAATATCAGAGTAAATGGTGTCGATTCTCACTGGTCAGTATTAACCCATCTGACATTTTACAAAAATGCCATTAAAAGCTGCAGTGGATTCAAATAGCTTACTACTAAGCACTTTTTCAAAATATCATATAGATACAGTAAAGACAGAGACTGTGGGGAGGGGAGAAATGAGAGAAAAGTGTGTATAATTGAAATTAAGGGAAATTGATACATTTAAAAGGCACAGCTTGGTTCAATCTGATTTATAAGGACACAATTAAAGAATTACTATTCCAGGATGAGGAAAAACGTGCTAGCTCTTCTTTGCCTGAAAAGTGTTATGTGAAACATTCATAGAAGATCAAACAAATTATACATGACACCTTGAAAGATGTTGTCCAAAGTGCTACCTTGCTTTAAAAAGCTATGAATCTGAGTTTAAAATTAAATACTTAACAATGCAGTAAAGCAGCAAACGAAGCATGAGAATTTTAATATGAGTTTTTCTTCACATTGAAAGCAAACATTTTATAATTTAAATGATATTTATATTATTCTTTAATCTTAACCATTTTACAGTTTTGCGATGTTACGCTCTTGTAATACATACTTTAACAGTGTAAAATATGATTGTAATGTACAGTATAAGTTTCTTTATTATATTTCCCGTGATTAAAAAACAGTTCAAGTGTTGTGTCAAAAATAAACATATTCTGTGCCTTTGTGGAGCTGAATTTACCCCTCCCCAGTAAAATCTGTGACATAAAACCCCTCATTTACCTCATCTTACTCAAAACAGAGGGGGAAAGTCAGGAGTACATATTCTAGCACTTCTGGCAAAATTTTACTTAACAAATCTCTCAGTTTGTAATAACACCTTCACTGTGTGAAGATTGCCCCAAGAAAGGATATCACAATTTATTTAGTTATTTATTTTATTTTATCTAGGGTTTTCCATTTTCTTCACAAAATTCATTACTATAAAATGCTAGTAATATCATCCGTTTGTAAAGCAGAATTGCGGACTTTATTACCATTGAACATTGTAGAGCTTGAATGGGACTGATGAATATTTACTCTTAAAAGCACAAGTGGCTTTTTGCCAACTTTTTTACTCTTTCTTCTCTCTTTCTTCCTCTCCCCCTCTCTCTCTGAATTATTGAGGCATTTAAGAAACAATCCACAATCCTTGTTAAATTGTTGCTGTTTGCCTTTCATATATTTCTTACTGCATAAGCCTATACATAATGCATGAAAATTGCACAGCAATAACTGTGCTGTAGAACCACGCCCTCAAAATGTTTTCTTGGTCTGTTTTAAGTTATCCCATCCTGGGTACATCATTATTTCTAAGATCACTTCCCTTGTTACATTGATGTAGTTTATTTGCTGCTTGCATTATCTCTTCTGATAATACAGTGCTTTCAGCATACAGGTCCTCCTCTTCATAATAGAAAATTGCAGTTTACCTAATTATTACTATCAGCCTGAATCAATGTACTGAAGCATAAAAACTCATTCTTTAAAGTTATGTATTATGATTGATTGTGCTAGTTCAGAATCGAGGCCAAGAGGGAGGTAGTGACTCCAGAGTCAACCAATCAGCTTCCCTGCATAAGGACAGATACTGTACCTTAACTGTCACTTAACTGCTCAGTGATTATCTGTATTACTTTCTCAAACAAAACAAAAAACAACCCCACTCTATTTTTCTGACCAGTGACCCTTTCTAGTCACAAAAACTATTTCTATTTAAGAAACACAGACCAAACTACAGTACTACCAGGATATTAAAGTACCAGAAGCACATTTGATTTTATAAAGTATTTCTCTTTGTCTTTACCATTTATAACTTTACTCTCTGATTCCTTTTTAATAGAAACAAGGGCATCTCTCAACAGTAAAGTAATATTCTGCTTCCGGGTATTTTTATTACAGATCTTTTATTTAATGTGCCAGGAGTAAAGATTTGTATTCCTAGATTTGAAAATTGCTCTTGCATAATATTTTAATTTTTTTCCAAAGAAGTGGCATGTGATTTCAGATTTAGTGAAAAGCTAAGAAATTTATAATTAAGAATATTAACTTGTATTTAAACAGAACATTACTTTAAAATCTGAGCATGTTTCAATAGACTATTTATGAAAATAATTGATATTACTTCTTTTTAAGTAATCTAATACATCCTGACTAGAGGATTTGTCTGAAATATAAATGAGAGATATAATGTAATGATATGAGAAATAATGTCAAATATATTTTGAACACTATTGAGGCAAACATGGAGAAAATAAAAGCAAAACAGAATTTATCTGAAGAAGAAAAGCAATATCTGCACCAAATAACAGAGTTTAATATCACTATTAAACCAGTTAAATACCTAAAACTGTACTTAATGAAAAACAATAAAGACTTGCTTAAAAGGTAACTTGGAGACTTAATGGAAGATATTGTAAGATTGAAAAAAAAATTAAACTTGTTCTGGTAAGGTAGAATATTAGCAATAAAAATGAATGTTTTACCAAGGATTAATTTTTTATTCCAAATTATTTCAGAGAAAATTGAAGATAAGGTATTAAATAAGTGGCAAAAACAAATAATAGAGATTATATACTCAAACAATAAACCTAGGAATAAACTTTAGACATTAACACATCTTAAACTTTGTTATTGAACTAGCAGGATTGGATTACAGACTGGTTTCTATAACTCTACAATGGGGTTACCAGTAGTGATGGAGCAGGAATATCAAAAGGATTACATATCTTTGGTTGGATTCAAACAGAATGTTCAAGCTATAAAGTATAAATAGTAAAAATATGGAATAAATACATAAATCCCTTCTACATGGAGTCTTAGGCCCAGTACTGTTCAATATCTTCATCAATGATTTAGATGAGGAGATAGAAGGGGAACTCATGAAATTTACAGATGATTTCAAGCTGGCTGAAATAGGCAACATTCCAGAATAAAGGCTCAAGATACAGAAAGATCCTGACAGAATTGAACATTAGGCGCTATTTAACAAAATAAAATTCAATGGTGAAAAAAGTCAGATTCTACATTTAGCAAGAAAAACCAAATGCACAGATATAATATAGGTGGTACCTAGTTCAATACCAGTAATAATAATTGCAAGTGGGATCTTGGAATCCTAATGGACAATCATGTAAATATGAGCCAAAAGCCAACATAGTTCTACACTACATTAACAGAAGAATATAATCAAGATCAAGTGAAGTGTTAGTACCACTTTATAATGCCTTGGTAAGGATATTGCATCCAGTTTTGGTCATCATGATATAAAGAGACTCTGGAAAGAGTGCAGAGAAGAGCAACAAAAATAATTAGGGAACTGGAGGCTAAAACATACGAAGTACAGTTGTAGATACTGGTTTTGTCTAGTTTAATGAAAAAAAAAGTGTAGTGAAAAGAAGAACCAGAGTTGACATAATAGCAGTGTTCCAATGTCTAAGGGGCTTCTATAAAACAGGGTGTCACCCTATTTTCCAAGAAGCAATGGATGGAAAGTAATCAAGGAGAGAACCAATCTAGAATTAAGGAGAAATTTCCTGACAGTTAGAACAATTAATCAATCGATTTGCCTTGCCTTTAGAAGTCGTGGCTGCTTCAACATTGGAGGTTTTAAAGAAGAGATTGGACAATCATTTGCCTATGCAGTGGGCTGGACTACAAGAACTCCAAGGTCCTTTCCAATTCTGTTTTTCTGTTAAAAAGATTAAACTAGGATTTGCTAGCCCTTGCCTCACTGTTAGACATTAATTTTCATAAAATTTAACAGTCTGTGCTGACCAATTGACCCCCATCTTCACCCGAATCTTCAATAGATCACTAGAGATTTGCTATGTTCTTTCCTGCTTCAAATGGTCTACTATCATTCCAGTGCCAAAGAAGCCCTCCATATCTATGAATATCTGAAACTTTTATCAGTTCCATTTAACTAACACTTTCTTCTTTCTTCTAAGAGAGAGAGAGAAAACATTCAAATTATATGTTTTTCTAGATATAGCCAACTTCTACATAATGAGATGGGCAAAAGTATTCTCTTACACCATTTTTGCTTCTTTCAACAAATATTCATTCACAGTAACAGGCCAAATATTACCTGTTGTTTTTTACAAGCTTTTGCACTCAGTATTTTGAAATTTTCTTCATCCATTTTTCCATCAAGTAAACACATTACAAAAATACACAACTTCATATACCTGCTCTAATTTTTCATCATTTACATATAACTTACAATAATTTACTTGTTTTCTTTATCAATCATAACAAGTTTGGTCTTTTATATATACATTTTCAGGACTATACAGCAAATTAAAATTTACTATAATGGGTTCTTAATAACACATCATCTACATTAGGAAGTAAAGATACAGTTCTATCTTCAACCAATACATCTCTGATGTCACCAGAAGCATCTCTTGTACTTTTATTTTAATAAATACATTAAACAACTGAGTAGGTCTCTCATATTCTAGTCTGCTTAATAGTTACACATTTCTTAATAATTTCACTTATTCTCATGTTCACTTCAATTCCATAATAGACCATTTGGTTTATTGCAACCAAACTTCCAGTTTATATTTATATTTGTGCAAAATTTTCTTTGCATATCCTTTACTTAAATCATAATATGTGCATTGTGCGATAAACTTTCCATCGCAATGATCACCTACAGAACCAGAATCCTTTATAAAGCTGCCTTAAACTTCACAAATGTTGGTCTTCAACATTTTTTTGAATCAGAATTCTACCATATTTATAAACTCTGTAGCTCTTGCATCCACTCTTAAGACATTTTCCTTTCTATGGAAAAACAATAATGGCATTCTTCCAATCCTAGGCACAGATGCTGCCTTCATGAATATGTCAAACATGTCACACAGCCACTATTCAAGCAAACCACAGCCATATTTTTACTTTTTTTCAAGCAATCCTGCCAACATTTGTAATAGTATCATTTTTCAACATTTCCACAGTGTTTATGACTTACATGTCATTATTTTTTCGTAGACACTAACATTTATTGTTTTTGTTTCAATTATATAATTATACTCTTCAGCATATTATTGTTATTCCAATACAAATTTCAAATGTTCTTTCCATCTTTCTCTTATTTCAGTTTCATCCCAAATAATTCCATCACTTTTATTTTTAATTCCATTCACTCTACTGGAATTTCCTTGTTTAGGAATTCAGAAAGCTTTTTAAAAAATGTTTATTTATATACAGTATGACATTCTAAATCTTAATCTTGTTATCCTTGCACAATTCCATACAGCAGCCTTCAACTCTTCCATTGCTGTAAATAAAGTCAAACTTGGGCCCTATCTAACAAAATAAAATTCAGTGGTGACAAAAATAAGATTTTACATTTAGGCAAAAAAAAAACCAAATGTACAGGTATAAAATTGCTGGTACCTGGCTCAACAGCAGCAACTGTGAGAAGGATCAAGGAGTCCTAGTAGACAACCACTTAAATATGAACCAGCAGTATGTGGTAGCTGTCAAAAAAAGTAAATGCAGTTGTAGGCTGCATCAACAGAGAGATAGCATCAAGATCACAAGAAGTAATGGTACCACTCTGTACTGCACTGGTGAGGCCATACTTGGAATAAATGTGTCCAGTTCTGGTTGCCATGATAAAATAAAGATGCTGAAGTCCTAGAAAGAGTGCAGAGAAGAGTAACAAAATGATAAAGGGTTTGGAGGCTACACTGTACAACGAATGTCTTTGGGAATTAGGCCAATAGCTGTCTTCTAGTACTTGATAGAATGTCATTGAGAAGAGAGGGTCAACTTATTCTCCAAAGTACCTGAGGGCCAAACAAGAAGCAATGGGTGGAAGCTCATTAAAGAGAGATCCAATCTGGAATTAAAAAGAAATTTACTAACAGGGAGAATAATTAATCAGTGGAATGGCTTGCCTCCTGGAGTTGTGGCTGCTCCATCGCTGGAGGTTTTCAAAAAAAGATTGAACAACCATTTGTCCAGGATGCTTTAAGATCTCTTGACTTGGACAGCAGATTGGATTAGAAGACCTTCAAGGTCCCATCCAGCCCTATGATTCCCTTCTACTCTGTTCTTACCAATAGCCTAAATTATCAGATTCATTCCTACATGTGCAAGTTGCACAAATCTGTGCTAATGGTGTGGAGAATACTGGACCTCATCTTCCACAAAGCAACCAGGAAAATCTGAGAAACAAGCTGTCATGCCCCTGTTGGAATCTGATTCCGAGGGGGAGGCCGAGCAACTGACAGGGAGTGGAAGTGTGGCTCCGGTTGCTGTGGAAGAAACTGGGGAAAGGTAAAGTCCAGCTGGGCAGAGCAGGGGAGAGGTAGAGCAAGGCAGAGTGAATTCAGAGGAAGATCCAGGCCCACCCCCTCTTCATCCTAGGGTACACAGGGAGGAACGGAGAAGGAAGCAACACGAGTTGCATGGCTTACGGGGGACGAAAGGACCCTGATTCCCTTCATTATCTGCAGCTGGGAACACAGTATTTAAAAAGAGAATTTGCGCACAGCAACTCATGAGAAGCAAATCGTGAGTTATCTTTTATGGTCAAGGCTTATCTGGGTTCCTGGCTTCTTCCCAACTGTGTGTGTTTTGTTGGCCTTTGAATTCTGCAATTCCTTATCCTGCCCTGTCCACTTAATTGCTGCAGCGTGGTTTGTGTGGATTTTTATTTATAGTTTATATGTACTTTGTTTTTTGGACTGAATTTCCTTCATTTAAAGACTGTTCTTGGGAGAGTTTTTCTCCAGCCAAGGGTAACTAGACATTGGGGGCAAAGTTGGAAGTATTAAAGGGACTTTTCTTATGTGACTGTGTTGCCTTTGTGCCACGCCCTGGTCATCATACAAGCTATTCTTCCCCATTCCAGTGCTTGAATGTAAGGTTTTGCTTTTTTATGAATGAAGCTAGGAGGCCCCTGTTATTTACCTAAGCAGACTAATAAATCATTTGAGGATGGATGTAGAAACCTGTAATAAATATACAGGACATCCTTCCAGATCTATTGGAACTGTAATTCTGAAGTTACAGTGTATACATGTGGACACTTTAATTAATATAGAAAATCAGATTTTTCCAGGAGAATTAGCAAGAAGAGCTGGACTGGAACCCAAAGGTAAGGCAGACCCAGGACTTTAAACCAAGGCAAATAGTCCGCAGAACAAAACAAAGACATCTCAGAAAATGCTTATAAATGATGTCTAGTATCTGTTTCTTGTCAGAATCATTCTTATGGACCTCTGCTTAGGTAGCATTCTTCTATGGTTATATGGAAAGACTCTACAGAACTGCAAAAATGGTAGCTGACTATGGGCCTGAAAACTAATGTAAATAGATGCACAACAAATATTCCCAGTTTTTGTCTCAGAAGATGGGTAGTATTTTGAAATGTTCAGTAGGAAATAGTGATAATAATGATAATTGATATTTTTAATATTCATTCCACTTCCATATTCCAGAAGAACAAAGAAAATATTGTAATAGGTTTCCTGTCCATCTCACATAATTTTATTATTTGGATAGTTTTAATATGTTTGCTTGTGTTCAAAGGTAAGTGTAATATCTTTCTTAGCAATGTATTTAGATATAGAAATTTACATTAGATGTAGCAAAGAGAGTGGAAGAAAACATATGTGATAGGTGAAGCACTGATAGATTACAACATAATATTCTCTTTCTTCTCTCTTTTATTACAGGTAAAAGTTCGTACAACTGAAGATGTACCTAAAGGAAACATTGAACTATTTGTAATTAATGGTGGAACCAAAGAAGTTAAAATGAAATGGTTTCCTCTGAATGAACCCAATGGGCAAATAATGTATGCTGTACTTTTCACTGGAATCTTTTACACTGACAAAGGTATTTCCATTTTGATACATTACTGGAGAGCTGAAGTTTTAGTTGCTCCTTAAGATGTTTACAGAATATATGTTTTATTAAGACATGAATCTGATATTGCTTCAATTTATAGCATAGAAACACAAAAGCAATGGAATTGTTTAAAGTTAAAAAAAAAAACCTGAAAACATTGATTTTGATGGAACTTGAAAATATGATGTTTGGTCTTCAGCAATGATTCACAAAAGTTGGTTCATACTTACAAGTATACCATCACCAATCTACCTAGGGAGAAATCACCTTTCTAGTGGAATGGTTTAGTAATCAATGTATTACTGTGTTGAATTATATCCATCCATAGAAAAAAGAGCTTAACATACACACGACTAGGTTAAATTGACTATAATGGATCTATTCAAATTATATCTGTGTCTCGATTATATTTATTTATTTAATTTAATTTTTAAGGCCATCTGACCCATTAACAATTCTGAGCAACTTACAATTATATCATAGTAATATGTTCTTATTTAATCCTGCATAGTGCCATGAATAAATTAATTCTCCATAAAGGAAATTTGCTTCTAACTCTACAGTTTGTTGCTTAGATTAATTCTTTTGCACTGGTGTTTTTTATGATGCTCAACATCTTTTGTCATGATTATTATTTATTTTATTATTTATTAATTTTTACATAGCAAAGTACTAACAATAAGATATTACATCTAGAATTTTCACATATTTTTTTTCTTTCAGATTACTTTGGTTAAATTATTTGGCTAAAATGTGTGAGTCATTTTGTTTAAAAAATATTTTTATTTTACCTCTGTAACAAAGTTTTACCACTTTGAATATCAGGTAGGAAGACTGAATTTAGTAGATCTGTTCCAGCTTCCACAAAAACTATTTCTTATTTTGCCACTATTATTTTACTGAGTAATTTCAGAGGAATAATTATTTTATGACAGATTGTTGGATTGAGAGTTGCCATTATTTGTTTTATTCTCTCCCCACCCAAGATTAGCCCTAACCCTAAGATTTTTTTTCCTTGTGGTCACCAGAAACTATGCTATATTTTATCCTTGTCAATACTTCAAAATAATAATAATAATAATAATAATAATAATAATAATAATAATAATAA